AATTAAGAACGCGTTAAAATTAGCTGAGAAGAACCGATTAAAAACGTATATCATCGGTATCCCGCCCGCGCCGCTTCGTTGTCTGTACTTAAATGGGCCTTTGGCACCGACTTTTATACTCTCTGAAAAGGTCGGTTACCGTTTGTTTTCAATGCTCTTAGTAACCCGACCATTATATTATTTCTAGGTTCTTCCTTGCCTTAATCCCCTCTTCTCCCATTCAGATTTCTAAATCCATTCCTGTGTCCGGCTGTGCGTAATCACGTTAAGATAGTTGGATTGTTATTATTTTTATTGATGTTACGTTGTCTTAATTACGCGCTCAACAACGAAAACATTGAGGTCACCGGCTCAAAATAAAACCATTTTTAAAAATGTATATTTTCTGCGGCCACTTATCGTTTTAAATAAAATACTTAAGCGTAGGGTACTACAAGTCTACAGATGACGTAATTATAACGTATAACATTATTTTGTAACTATATTATATGATACAAACCTTGTAATTATCATACATTTAAGCAAATAAGCGAAATATTATATCACTGCAAAGGACATCTTATAATATTATACTACAATCCTTAAAAGTTATTTATACCCCAATATTTTATATTTTTGTGTAATATCTCGGTCTTACACAATATATGAGTTTACTTTGTTGGATATATTACGTAATTATTTTATCTTTTTTCTTTGTACTACTCAATATATAATGTACTCCTTACCTATATATTGTATATATATGTTGTATTTATGCCGTCCTACGCAAATACGCAATACATCAATGATCATAATTTTTGTAAGTTCAAAGTATCATCTATAGTTGTCTCGGTAAAAATAAATAGGATGTTTTCGCTTAATTTAATACCTACTCTAGTAAGTACACAGCCTTATGAGTGATATTCACAATAAATAGTTTCTTCTCCCTCTTTTTTTTACGTTTTTTATATTTTTTCATATACGATACGCAGGACTCACTTTTACAGCTGTTTTTTTTTTTGTTGTTGTTGTAAATATTTTTCGTTTTCACTGTAGTCGTGAATCAGCTGTATGATGCTTTGCGTTTAGTTAGGCTTATATTCATTCGACCCAGTTTCGTTGAAATGTCAACGTCCAATACAATACACAAAAAATCTAACCAAACTATTGAATTTTCAACAAATATTCAATTGAATTATTACTAAAGTTTTTAGTTTTCCAATACATTGCACTGCAGTATAATATACAACAGTATTCATGGGTAAATGAAATTGAAAATATATATATATAATCACGGGTCCGGTATCGTGTAGGATCTGGAAAAGTCCTTTTCATCGAGACCCCCACCATTAAAATGCGATTAAAGTGGCGCCTGTTTTGCGGGCCTGTACATATAAAACCACTATACACAATAATTCACCCTTCGTAAACTTCATCCCTTTTTAGTGTAATGACTGCGTCGCGTATGAATTTTACGAGTACGTTGGCTTTTTCCAATTGCTTATTATATAGAACCACGCACCCCCCATTGTGATTGAAACGCGACTGTTTATTCATTATACAATTTATATATATATATATACAGTATATACAGATTGATACTTTTAATAAAGACTGATCTTTATCTCAAAAAATACACAATAAACTTTTTTTAAATGTTGAATTATACGCATAATTCTAATATTTTATTATACTACCCACACACTATTTGCAAATGAAACCACAATAGCACTGTTACATAAACCTTTAAACTTTTGGTTTAAAATGAAATTATAGATCTGAAATATAGAGAATTTTAGGATCGCGTTAAATTTCAAAAGTCAATATATTTTGGAATTACAATAATTACTATTGATAGTATCATGCTGTTTGTATATTTTAACAAGGCTAGACACAACGAGTACGTAATTTGTCATATAAACTTCAAAACGAAATATATAATACCAACAATCATTGTGAGCTGCGACGACAGTATTATATGCAATTCATTCTTGGCGTCGTATTATATTATTACTTATTACTATTATTATATACTTCTTATGTAAGCATTCCCAATTTCCCGAACGCGACATCGACACAATAAAAAGATGTGGTGTATACTTACCCGGTTTTCTCTTCCTTTACGATTATTACGGGATTCCATTTAGATTTCCATTGTCGGCGTTTCACATAAAAAAACTTTCAGACAACAAATAAAAAATGTATATAACGTACGTGCTTTAAAAACTCTATAAAGTATTGTATAATAACTAATAAATAATAATATGATGTAGGTATAATATACTGATTAAACCATGCGTCAATCGTCACGCGCTTACAGTCAATGAAATTTAATTTCAACAATTTTATTATTAGGAATCATTATTTATTTACAGCGCGGGACAAAGATATATAATATTTATACTTTAATTTTCATGTGTTCAACAGCCATTAACGACATTTCAGACTGTTTGCTAAAATTATCTTGTTTTCAAAAGAAAAACGATTTCAATATTTACACACCGATATAAACTGTAATATATTATTATTCATACGCTATCGTTTTTATTGTTTTAACTTTTTGGTCTTTAAATCACTTTTTTTTAGGTATATTATTTTCAAATGTATTCAAAATATCTAATCAATAAATAATTCGTCATCATTTCTCATCACATATACACATACTATGAAACTGCAAAATTATCTGTTGCGTTATTGCTTGCTTTTTAAATATAAAAGAAAGTTATCATGATTGAAACACATTTTAATCCCGTAAATCATTTAACGGTACCGTAGCAAAATCATACAACCAGAACGAAGAATACCCAATGAATTTATATATATATACTCTTCCGTTGCAGGTGTAAACTAACTGTTTGTTCTTTTTTTTTTTTTGATTGAGATTGATATTTTTTTGTTTCCGTAAATATTCTAATCTGTGTCAGATTCGCCATATAATGTACGCGAAACTAATTGGTCCTTATATACTTACAAAACGTTAAAAATGTATATTTTATCGTGTTACGTAGCCTACGTTGCAGATTTTTCTACTATTGCTGTAAGGTGTATAGTGTATGTATAACAAACACAACACATGTTGTAAAATAGCATGAATTACGTCGTGTTATACGTTGAAAATGATTCATTTAATTGAACACTATTTTTTCTAGTCGATTGTTGTTATGGCAACCAATATTTTGTTAAATGTTAGCTGAGTATATACCTAATGGCGGCAAGAGGTACAAACTACAACCCCGAAAGTTTTGATTCACTACTCCGTTCTCTCTTCTATCGTGATAAGGTGAAAAATAGATATGTTTGTAAAAGGAATGTTATTTTATAATAAATACTCGTAACTATTGAAAAACATTTATTTAAAACACGTAAAAAATGACATGGAAAATTAATATAGCCAATTTCAGTTATAAACGAATTATTCCTCGTATATGCCTTCAATGTACATACAGGCTATACATATCTTAGTAGAAGTATCTATATTATACATTCGACGACCGTCTCAACACTAATATACGCGCGCGTCTGTCCGAACCTGTTTGAGTCTAAATTCAATGCACCATAATGCACGCATGCAGTATCTACAGCTCATGCATTAATCATTTTACGTGTCGGCGTATATTACGCTGCAATCGTACTCGCTGTTGTTTCCTTCGAGACGTCTGCCAAGTACGCGCATAATATATTTTTCTCAGAACAAAAAAAAGAAAAAAAAAACGCAATCGCACTATTATACTTCAACTTGCACCAGACCATATGCATTGCTTACACAGACAAGCTTATCTCTCGGCGACGGCGGGAAGAAAATAAGATGACGGGCTCTCTGACAAACAATATCATAAAAAAATAATGTACAAACGCGCGCGCTCGCGTTTATGGCCACTAGCCAATTCGGAAAGAAACGTCCGTCGGCTTTCTCTGCATCCCGCACTAGTCGGTTATTATTTGATTTTTTAGCCTTACACACAATCTGCAACACAAACAATAAACAAGTGTCTAGTCGTCCCGTGTTACATTACTTATTATATTATACCTGCAACAAGAAAGAAAGTTGGTTTATTTATTTAAATGTTTAACGGTTGATAAATCATAGTGCTCTTTTTTGTTTTATTATTATTTTTTTTTTTTTGTCTTCGATGATTTATGATATTTTGACGATTTCGTTGTTATTCAAACTGTATGCACAAGTGTACTGGCACTATAGCCGACTTTAATGCATGTGTGACGGCTTTTATTCTTCGATAGACACCGAAGACAATAGTTGCAAAAAAACAATTGTGGACTTCGGAAAACCAAACACTTTCGTGTAATACTCTCTTTGATTGTTGTATAAAAGAAAGCACTTACCATATAATATGTTAAGTATGAAGTCCTTTCGTATACGAATATTGCGGCGTGACACGATATATATATATATTATACATTATATTTAGGACAGAACTTAAAATAATTATATTCATATATAAACAACAAATATGTATGTGTATTCAAGACTTGAGTACCGAAAAACAAAACTCTTAAAACGCAAAACTGTATAAAAAATCTTGAGAAACGACCAAATATTGTTAAAACGTTAGCACTTAGCAGTCGTTTTGAAACTGTCAAAACGCGAACTTGATTGTTATTATTGTATATTATTATGTTACGGGTATAAGAGATGTCATACTTTCCTTAATAATTAATAGTCATGTATTTGCTGTACCTATACATTTTCAAAATTCCAATATTATATTTCTCTGACATTTTTTAAAATGAATAATCGTAAAGTATTTATTATTTGTTATAAAATAAATTTGATATACATATCACAATATATCTATATTCTATATTATATTAAATTTAAAAAAAACCTGATTTTAAATTTCATTTTATCACATAAAAGAATTTAAACTAGGTTTTTAGTGGTGAGGGAGGGGTAGTTAATTCCTTACTAAAAATATATATTTTTTTATCAAATATTGTCATTAAATTTTAATACTTAGGAATGTAAGTAATTAATATTAATAAACGTTTAATTGTGTTCTAAGGTCGGCTCTCCAATCTTTACACCGGGTGAGCGCTCAAGCTCGCGAACATAACTTTTTCGAAGGCGGCCTTACCCATGATTGGATAACGCATTACGAAAAACAAATCTCCTCCGACCAGTCATGTTTGAACGAATGGAATGCTATGGATTCAATAGAATCGCGTCGTCCACCATCACCGGATTCACTGAGAACAAAGTAAGTCCGATCGTCCAAATAATAATTATTATAATACTCATCGTGTAACTACATAAACTTTTATTTATTACGCTCATTCTTCATCCGTGGTTACTTATAGACCCAGCGAACGCGAAGAAACTGAACGTGTGATACGTAGTGCCCTAAAAGAAATCATGATGAGCGTAGACTTGGACGAAGTGACGTCCAAGTTTATCAGAGGCCGTTTGGAAGAAACGCTAGACATGGACCTGGGCGAATACAAACCGTTCATCGATCAAGAGATGCTTACCGTGTTGGGCCAGATGGACGCGGCTACGCAAATATTCCCTCACGTTTACCTTGGTTCCGAGTGGAATGCCTCGAACCTCGACGAACTCAACCGAAACGGGTATTTATAAACGCTAAGCATAGTATTAATAAATACAATACACATACTATAGTATCTCTATGATATCGAATCACATATATGGATGATATGTCGTGTATATATTTTCCTATATTGGGAGTGAATCACGCGTTTGATTGCCGTCTATTCGAATAAAAATGTTCGAAGGTCACTTATCCCGATAATCGAATCTTATAATAACAGACGTAAACCAAATTTAAATCAATTAAGCACATAAGTATTGGTTATTTTTCAAAGTAAATTAATAAAAATAATAATAATTATCTAACTAGAGTAAATGTAGATAGTTTAAATTCACAACGTTAAGTTACAAGTTAATAGTAAACAAACTCTAAAAGCTTAAATTTAATATATTTTATCAATATTATTTTTTATTACCTCCTTAAAGATACGGCTCTACTGAACGCGATTTTTGATGGGGCCAAAAGCGATTAATCGCAAGGAAACTATTTTGATTTATTTGCGTTAAAGGCGATTTATTATAAAACGCCAAACGTGAAACGTCTCAGTGCGGTCATGTCATAGTTATTTTAATAATTTTGATAAAATTGTAAAATCGCGTTAAGTGGAGCCGTATCATTAGTTACGAATAGTGATTTTTGGATTGTTCAAATAATGATTTGAATTTTATTTAAAATTAATTTTACAATATTTATTTTAGTGATTTTAGCAATTACTCGTTCTCAATATAGTAATATTAACAAATTAATTTGTTTATTTTTATTTAAAAACAATTACGCACAATGTGATTAGTGATTACATGAAAAAAAAATTAATTAATCTTAACTACAATTTTAGATCTGTCATGTTATGTATAATGTATCAAACACAGTTTGAACTTAAATTATTATTTTTAAATTAACTGAAAATATCTAATTTATTATCATTTATACTTTAACTACCATAGTTAAATTATTAAGTTAGGTAGTTATTATAAATTTAATTTTAGTTTATAATTGGTTAAGAAAAATATTTAAAAAATTTACTTTATAACTCGTATTAAATGCACATCTGTGTTTTTTTAATTATAAATTCATTTTTAACAGTTTAAAAAGATATTTAAAACTTTATTTTTTTTTTAAATTCAAACACTTGATATTCAAATAGATGCAATTCAAACCGCTGTCTCCCCTACCACTATATCGTAGCCATAACACATTTATAAATTATATTTTGCGTTTATTTTCAGTGTACGACACATACTGAATGTGACGAGGGAAATCGACAATTTCTTCCCTGGCTCGTTCAAATATCTCAACGTTAGGGTGTACGATGATGATAAGACTGATTTATTAAAACACTGGGACAACACATATAAATATATCACAAAAGCCGAGTATGTAAAATTTGCATGTATTTATAAAATTATAATATCAACGTTATTATATTCTCGACGTGTATTTTATTTTATTTTTTTCAGACAAGAAGGCTCTAAAGTCTTGGTACATTGTAAAATGGGCGTCAGTCGATCTGCAAGCGTCGTTATTGCGTACGCTATGAAGGCTTACAACTGGTCTTTTAAAAAAGCATTTGATCACGTACGGTCTAAACGCACCTGTATTAAGCCCAACAAGCATTTTATCCTACAGTTAGAGACTTATCAAGGAATATTGGCCGCAATGAAAAATCGCGAGAAATTACAGCGTTCCAAATCCGAAACAAACTTGGTGGCAACGTCGGGCCTTATCACACCTCCTAATTCACCTAAAAAACCTTTGGACACTCCGAGGTCCCAAAGCGAAGGTGACAAAGACGTCACACCACCGGATCGGTTAGACAAAGAAAACGAACCCGTCGTACCTAGTCCACCGACACGGTTGATGCCGCCAAAGTTATTAGACGTCAGTGGATACGATTTGATGAAATGCGGAGGACGACCAAAGTCGTGGTCACCAGAAAATAATTTTGCCACCGATATTTTAACCAATTCTAGTAAGTTAAATTATTTATAAATCTACTACGTTTAATAAATTAAACCGATTACTCTGTTATTCCGATCAATATATGTTCAATTATTTCTATTTAAAAAATTAGAAAAGTTTTCTACATAAAAATGAAACTAATACGTCATAAATTTAAAATTGTAGTAAAAATATCTTCGTACATTTTACGCTTTTCAAAACAACTTCAACCAAATTAAATATTTTATATGTGTGAAATTATACTTATATCATTGCATTTGTATTGCTTTATGGCTCAAAATTACATAAACAGATTTTCAATTAAATTAATAAAATTTTTTAACTGCAAAATATTCACAACGCATATGTATTTATATTTTTATACTACTTTTACTTCCAATGTTAAAGGCTTGTAGACTTCTTTAAATATCATAGTATGTTATTAAACTATTTAATAGCTTACAACTACTAAAATGAGTAGAATTATTGCATTATCATCGTATTTAAAGCATTCTTGAATATCATTCGTATTAAGAAAAACAAACGAAGATTATAATAATCTTCATATACATTTTGTTGATGTCTAAAGAAATAGAACACGTCCAATAACAATATTAGATGGTACATGCATATTTATATAAATAACAATAAATGTATGTATATATTTTTAGCGTTATTGTCGCAATCGTTGGAGAAAATTAACACGGATAAAATCGCTGTTGAAGTGGAAGTGGAAGTGGAAGTTCCGAATATTCCGCCGGCACCACCACTGCCTACATTCGAAGCCCATAAATACAACGTCAGCGTGTTCATGCCATGCGGAAACGGGCTAAGATCATACAGCGTATCACAAAACAAAATCGTTCAATTACAACCAGCTACACCGCCACCTCCAAGGTAACATAAATTATTTTACGCACCACTCGATTCCAGATGATTTATTCTATCAGTTGAGATTTACATAAATTGTATTAACTCAAGTATAAATCTATTCGCTAATATTCTAAGAGTGGTTAAAAGTCTTTTTAATAATTTTACGATATTTGTATAATTATATTATTTGTTTGTACCCTTATATGTGTAAGGATGATTAGGGAAAATATATCATATATTTTAACCTAGATTTCTTAGTATGATAACTGTCAAAATGTATTTTTTGAATCATGATAATCGAAATGTCATAGAATTTTTAAATTAAAAATATCAATATACTTAAATTATACTTGTTATACACAATAATTGCTTAATGGTTGTAATAATCAAGACTAAACAAAATACAGATATACAGATAAATAGTTTAATCGTTATAATTCATACATGCGTAACATTGTGTTACAGACCGTCGTCGGTTAAACTACGAGTCAACGAATTGGAGTCCAGCAGCATCAGCGGCAGCAGCAGTGTAACTAGCAGCAGCACCGTTGGTTGCACGTCTAGTCCTGACCGCAAATCGACGGCGGACCCGAGCCGAAATTTGGTGCTAAATCTCACTACCCAGTTCGAGGGCGTGGTGACTACTTCAAGCCCGGCTAATTCCCCTTCCGACGACAACGTTCTAGTCAAACCTTTGCCTACGGCCGAATCACCGAAGTTCAGCCGAGTGGCCGTCAACAAACCTCCATCAATCGCCGTTTGCGCCCCGCAGAAACGGGACGGCGGCGATCTGTTCTCGTCCCGGCTGGACAGAGTGTTCGAACGTGAGGAGCGCAAACAATGTCGCGAACCCGCGGTCGACCATCAAACGACAGCCGTAAGCGGCGGTAATGTGTCCCGACAAAACTCGTGGAGCTCGTTCGACAGCGCTGTCGTGCTGCGCGACGTAATATCCAGACACAGTTCGTGGGGCTCCTGTGACACGCGCACGTTGCCTTCCAGGAACAGTTCGTGGGGTTCGTACGACATCCGGCCGACCATGCAGTATGTCAGCGAACGCGGCGAGAAGCCTGCAGCAATCTCCACTGCAGCCTCCATCACCAAAGCAGCCATGGACGAATCGTGTTACCGGCCGGCCAAAAGGCCGAAGCAGAAGGACCAGCAAAAGTTACTGCTGCCCAACTGCTACTCGAGTTCGCCGATGCTGGGCCTGCAGGGTGCTTCGCACAAACTAGCCAACCGGGTGACCGCGTCTCAGCCGAACATATCCGGTCTTGGCAACACCGCCGCCACCAACACCGTCGCCGCCGCATGCAATAACAAGCACAGCAGTCTAGTGAGGAGTCTGAAAGAGGAGTTCGAGGCTAAGGCAGGCGACGCGGTCGAAAAACTGTCTAGGAAGAACAGCGGCGGTGGAGGCGGTAGCAGTTCGGCCGGTGACGACGGTGTCGGCAACGAACACGTCAAGAGCCTACCCACGTCGCCGGTCAGCGAACACCCAAAGGTTACGCAACGGCCCAGCCCAGCCGCCTCCATGGAAGACATATCGGTCAGGAAACTTGTGGGCAAATACGAAAACGGCAGGGCCCGGTCCAAGACGTTCGTGCAGGACAGCGGTTGTCCGCGCAATCCACACCACCAACAGCAACCGCCCGTCCCAACCAGGGTGTCCAGCCTGGATGTGACCGCAATTGGGCCCCGTAAGTTCGAGTGCAATCCCGTCGTTAAGACGGTTGTATTGCCTATACAGCAGAGCGATATCCGCGCGTCCGTCAACCGGGCGGCCAACAACAAACTACAACAGGGCAAATCGCATCCGCTGACTATATTGCCGTTCAAACAGGTGAAGGTAAACAGTTCCGTTTACAACAGCATGTGAACAGCTGGCGCGAATCGCCGAAAACTGTAAAATGCAAAACGCGTTCATCGTAATTTTATTATTATTATTATTATAACGTACTATTTACGTGTTGACTCTTAATGATATGTTTTGTTTTTTTTTTTTTTTTTTGTACCTTTGAACTCTGTTACGTTATATCTATTTTTACTTTGACAACTCATTTGTGTAACGTTTTTTTCCATTTTTTTCCGATCCGTTTACTCCCAGTATAAAAATATATAATAGTAAATACTTCTTGTCACCCCCTCCCCCCACCAGACTTTTGTTTTTTGTTTTCTAGTCTAACGCGCAAAACCACCGTATCAACTATCAACTGTGTAAATAATATATATTATATTATTCTACTATTTTAATACGAGAATTTATCCAAGCCTACCATTGTTTACAAGAATCTCTACGTCGCTTTACTCTAAGACACGCTATTCGAAGCTAAAACAATAATGAAAATTATATATTTTACCTATTATAACTTTAGCACAAGAATTGAGTAAAATAAAATTGTTTTTGTTTGTTTTATATAAATATATAGGTGCGCTCTCTCGTATAATAATATATGCTATCTGCATTTTCAGAAAAAAAATTACAATATTGTCTTACAAAGTTGTAGATCTCATTTTTTTTTTTTTTTTTATCGCTTATCTAGGTGGAAACATTTGCTTCCTCGCGTGTTCCGGCGATCGTAATAACAATATATAATATGATGGTTGGTCGATCCGTTGTGGGCACCACTTTCCTCCTATATTTAAATAATATTGTGTATATAATTTTGTAAGCTTATTATATTGTGTGTTGAATAAACGATTTTAAAAAGTGTGTATACATTTTAAAAATATCTGCTTTGTTATTAAATTATGTATCATATTCCCGGAAAAACTCCAATGTCATACTAATATAATCAATTCATCACCAACAATACTCTTGAGTATTATCATTGAATATATATATATACTATAATATATACTCAATGGTATTATGTAGGCTTACATACTTTTTACATTTGTTATTGTTTAGATTATTTTTATTTTTTATTTTTTTTTATAGTAACATATTTTTCTTTACATTAAAAATTATTAAAAAAAAAAATTTTAATATAATATTGAAATGAAAAAATAATAATATATTAATTCTGTGGAAAAACAGGAAATCCTTAAACACAGATACTCGCACTTCGTCATAAAGTATATCATCAATAACACTCATTTGTTATCGAAATATGATTTTCAATAACATAACAACATATATATATATATATATATTAATGGTTATGAATTATGATCACATACAATTCAAATAATCGTTCAGTCGTCGTATCTCCTAAAGACTTTTAGATGGTCGATTTTTTCTCTCTAATCATATTCTATATTATATTACATGTATACAATGATATTATCAATAAAAAAATGAAGAACTACAACAAAGGCGATGTGAAAAAATATTTAAGCAGGATTTACACAATAAAAATTTAAATTATTTTAATAAAATGTTAAAATTTTAGCTAATTGGTGATTTTAGAGGGCTGCAAAATTGTTATAATACTTAAGCCACGCAAACGGTCTCGTTCATGTTCCAACAATACTGCTGAACAGTATTTGGTGATCACCGACAGTCTTGATAAATATATTCGAATAGTGAATACTATATTTAAATACATTTTTTCTAAAATGCTGACACCAGGTCAGCCCCCAAACCTGGAATTCTTAAAACTATTAAACATGTTTATAGATATTAATTAAATTAAAATATTTATAAAAAGTTATTGATATATAATTAATGAACAAAACATTTTTGCATCAATCTTTTCCGTGGTTTATTTTAATTTTTATTATAAACTTTTTTATTTAAAACATTAAATTGTTTCCCCTTTTAATGAAAAAAGATTTTCAAATCATTTAAAATTAAATTTTCGGTCTCAATTAGTACTTTTAACCTACAATGCTATGTATATATGTATAAAATAAACCATGTGATAGATATCTACATTTTTTGTATCATTGAAAAAATGTCAGAAGTTTGTAAACATGGATCACTCTTTGAAAGATCAGTTGAACTGAGGATCAAGGATCAATATATTCAAAAGCGGTTACTTCCAGACTCTTAATTTTTTAATCTTAAGCAATAATTTATAATTTTTTTGTATTGATAAAATAAAATAAAAAATATTTAAATGGATAGTTTTTTTAAGGAATTCAACATAGGCAATATATTGTACGTACTTCTGTGAGCAAAATTGATAATTCTAGCAAACAGTTTTATTATCATATTATTAGTGTGAGTAAAAAATATCTACTCAACTACAAAATGCTTTAAAATTAAAATTAAATCTTATACAGCTTCGATTATTTCGAAACACATATGTAGCTTAGAAACAATTAGTATATTAAATAATATAACTTTTTTTTTTATATGATGGAAACATAATTTTGGAAGAATTGACAAACTGGATTTCATTTGCAAATTACAACCAAGTATTTAAACTTTAAAACCTGTGGACGATAGAAGCAACTAATCAGCACTCAACTTCAATCAGTTGTGGTATATCTTGAAATTTAGCGACCCTATAGCCTATATGTATAGGAAGTGGAATCCCCTTGGGACAATTAAATGAAATTATTAATATTAGAAACTAATGAAAAAAATTAAATAATTATTACCTATACTTTATTTAAAAACATATTCAAAATAATAACACTACATACTTAAAAATTAACTTCTCAAGTTTTCGTTTGATAAAAAAAAAATGAGAAATTTTTTTCAAGTTTTAATAAAAGCACTGTGATTCCCATTTGAACGTACTTGGGGAGGAGGCCGCTGTAAATTCTACTGGCTTAAGGAATAAGGATCAATTACTTTCGGGCTAATATATCAATAACAATAATGAAACCTTACAAAGCACGGAACAACAAGTATACTGCAGAACAATAATAATACAATTAATTATTATTGATATTACATGATTTGCGTTAGGTTAGGTTATTACTTATTAGTAATGATATTTCGGAGTAATACATTTTATGCGTAATGTCGTTTTTTGACACAGATTTGTTGTATCCCGTGTCGGCTTTGATAAGAACGGTATCATCACCGATAACAAAATGAAAACAAACTCTAAAGTCGAGACCCAAGTGGCCAAATATTTACTAAAATGTGCGTTAAATTCAAACATTTAATTAAAAAAAATTAAATTCTATAGCCAGTCAATGTCTCCGCGACACTTTTAAATTGTTAACGTGGAAACGTGTGACCGCGAAAAACGAAAATGAAGTTTTTCATCGACGAGCTGGAAGTTTTATTCCCGTACGAGTATATATACCCCGAGCAGTATGCGTACATGGTGGAACTGAAAAAGGCGATAGACGCCAAGGGGCATTGCCTGCTCGAGATGCCATCGGGAACCGGTAAGACCATCACTATACTTTCGCTGATCGTCGCTTACATGGTCAAGTATCCGGCGAAACTCGCCAAGTTGTTGTACAGCACCCGGACGTTGTCCGAGATCGAAAAAGCGGCCGAAGAGTTGCGCGTGCTGTGCGACTACTATAAGTCAAACAAGTACGACGCCAACGTACTGGGAGTGGTGCTGTCGTCCCGCAAGAATTTGTGCGTCAATCCGTCGATTGCCGGCGAAATAAATGGGCGCGTAGTGGACGCTCGCTGTCACGCGCTGACGGCGCCGTTCGTGCGCGCCCGCCACGCCGACGGTGAGACTGTCAGTGTGTGCGATTTCTATGAAAAACTCGATTCCCTGGGCAGGGACACTATTCTCCCTCCAAACATCTACAACGTTGAGGACCTGAAAGAATTGGGTGTAAAACAAGGCATTTGCCCTTACTTTGTGGCCAGACAAACGCTTATACATGCCAATGTCGTCATATATAGTTACCATTACCTCTTGGATCCCAAAATCGCTGGCATAGTTTCCAAAGACTTCAACAAAAACACTATAGTGGTGTTTGACGAGGCACACAACATTGACAATGTATGTATAGACTCTTTAAGTTCACACATCACTAGCAAAAATCTGGACAAAGCTTTGGAAGGACTCGTTAAACTGGATACTGAGATCACGGCCATGAAAGAGAGGGATTCGCAAAGGTTAAAAGAAGAATACAGAAAAATGGTTGATGGCTTGAGGGAAATTTACCGAAACCGCGAAGCCAATGCTGCTCTAGCTAATCCAATTGTGCCAGATCAGGTGTTAAAAATCACTGAATTGCCGGGTAGCATCAGAAGTGCTGAACACTATATTGGTTTTATGAAAAGATTCATTATGTATATGAAACTCAGAATGAACTCTACCACTGTAGTACAAGAAACTCCTATAATGTTTGTTAAAGACATATACCAAAAAGTATGTATAAATAGGAAACCACTAAGGTTTTGTACTGAACGGTTATCATCTTTGCTGAGAACATTAGAAATATCTGAAATTATAGATTTCTCTCCACTTATCACAGTTGCTCAATTTGCCACTTTAGTTTCAACTTACATGAAAGGATTTATGATAATTATAGAACCATTTGATGAAAAGTCATCGACAGACAGCTGTGTCATGCATTTTAGCTGTTTAGATGCCTCAATCGCCATCAAACCAATTTTAGATTATTTTAATACTGTTCTTATAACATCTGGAACTCTATCGCCTTTAGATATGTATCCCAAGATTTTGAACATCAATCCAGTAATAATGACGTCCCTGACCATGACATTGTCCAGACAGTGTTTTTTGCCAATGGTGGTTGGTAGAGGTAATGATCAAGTAGCACTGACATCCAAGTGGGAATCAAGAGAAGATTCGTCTGTTGCGCGTAACTATGGACATTTGTTATTGGAAATGGTAAAAGTGGTACCTGATGGCGTCGTGTGTTTTTTCCCATCATATCTGTATATGAAATCCGTAGTGGCTGCTTGGTATGATCAAGGATTAATTGAAAAGATTTTAGATTACAAATTGATATTTATCGAGACACAAAATATTGTTGTCACTAATCATGCAATAAAATGTTATGCAGAAGCCATAGAACGAGGGAAAGGAGCGTTATTGTTGTCTGTTGCTAGAGGTTTGTTATTTTTTAACATGTAGATTATATTTTAATAATAAAATAGTTTGAAAATATATTATTTTACTGAATATTATAAATTAGTTGCTAATATTTTAAAATACAATTTTTGATTCTTTATCATTTATTAATAATTAAATATATTTGGCTAAAAAATAAACTATATACCATTTTATTCAGTTAGAAAATATTAAGTACATTTATTCATATTTTATCAAAATATTTATGTTAAATTATAAAATTATTTATTTGTATTTTATTTTATAAATATTACAAATTATCTTTGTTTACAGGTAAAGTGTCTGAAGGTATGGATTTTGATCATCATTATGGTCGAGCAGTAATTGTTTTGGGTATGCCATATGTTTATACTCAATGTCGTATATTAAAAGCTCGCATGGAATATTTATGCAGTCAGTACCAAATATCAGAAGGTGATTTCTTAACATTTGATGCTATGAGACACACTGCCCAATGTGTTGGACGAGCAATCCGTGGTAAAATGGATTATGGCATCATGGTGTTTGCAGACAAAAGGTTTGCCAGACATGATAAAAGAAGTAAACTCCCAAAGTGGATACAGGCATATCTAACTGACAATGTTTGCAACTTAACTGTTGACGAAGCTGCACAAATGGCTAAACGTTGGCTAAGATATATAGCACAACCTGATCCGATTGAAAATCAAATGGGAATATCATTATTAGATGTAAATGGACTGAATAAAACTGATTTCTTAACAAAAGTAGTTCAAAAATGTTGAATACCAATTCCATCTTAAAATGTATATCTATTTAATTTATATTTTTTGTAATTTTTTCTGAACTTTATTAAAGTTTATCCTTTTAAGTGTTCAAATTATTTTTTATCTGTAACCAAAAATGTATTATATTATAGTTTGTTATGAAATTATGTACAAAATTTCTCAGAAACAGTAACTTTACTACTAATAAAATAATTATATTTAAATTGTATGTTGGTTCTCGTGATAATCGCAAAAAATTATTTATTTTATTATATTAAAGTGAAAAAATTACATTTAAAATGTGTGTACTCTTAACCATTGATAGATAAGTATGTTAAAATATATATCTTTGATTTCAATATTTCAATATTATATACATTTTGTATTTATACATTCATGTGCTACCACTATTGTTTTACATTTTAAGTGTAGTCATAAATATATTGATTTTATAATTATGTATTATATTTTTGTATCTGGAGACACTTTCTACTAAAATAAATTCTCCTACATTAACTTTAATAGATATATTTTGTAACTAATTGAACCTAGTTAATACTTTTAAAAGTTAAAAATTAAATATTCTTGCTTCTTTTTAAATTAATCAGGTTAAACTTAAAATAATACAAACATTTGTTAAAATTTTAATATTATTATTAAAATATTTATTTGGTTACCAAAATTTTAAACTATCTTTGCTTAATAAAATCATTTATCATTGTGAAACACTTAAACACATGAACATTCAACTCTTACAACTAAGAAACAGAGTGGGTTACCTAGTGACCACTTAGTACTTTTGGGCTTTCTTTATTATTTTATTGTAGATACGAAATTAAGTATAACTACATATTATTAAAGTACAACATTAACTATAAAAAATATAACACTAAAAAGTCTTTATTATATGTTTATTTTTTTACCATCTGTTCTGTGATTTATATCTATATAAGTAATTTGGCGAAAAATGATAACAGTATCAAAAGACAAAAACCTACAGCGGACAAATCTTTAAATATATATTTTTTTTAAGAGGCAATTGTGAAACATTTTTGTTAAAATGTTCGATTAGTACTCACGATTTGCGAATCTCATACGATTGTCGTGTGGCTCGTGTACTCCAATAATTTTTAGTCAATGTTTTTAATCGAATCTACCGCGGATCTAAAGACGTTTTGTACGTAGCGGACTTGGGCCGTTCGTGATATTCGATTGACCATGCGTAAGTGTACCGTGCACGTCATTTTTCAATATAATATTATGCTTAACGTGTTTGACATTTGTCGTTCACTTAAATACTACTGCTGTTCAGTAGTGTCAGGCCGTCTATTTGATTGTATAACATGAAACTATCAAGAGAATGTTTTCTAAAATCATATTTTAACGCAGGTTTATACTGCAGGTTGGTCGGCTGCACGATGCGCGTTCCGAACTATGTCTTCTGGAAAGCTGATGAACCCAGCCACTGTCAATGTCGCGACATTGCGGTGCCACGGGTTCTGGCTGAAATGCTGGTGGATTGACCAAGCTATTGTATCAAGGGAAAAGTTGACGATATATTTTGTTCCCAAACGTTGTTTCAATGTCACTATCCCTTTGAGAGTGTCAAAAAATTATTATGATATACTGGGCGTTCCGAGAAATGCTACTCCAAAGCAAATCAAAGACGCTTATTACAAACTGGCAATGAAACATCACCCTGACAAAAACCAAGGAGTACTCACTAAACAGTTTAGAGATATTAAAGAGGCATACGATATATTGAGCAATGAATCTAGTCGGATGCAATACAATAATAGGACAGGTTCAGGTACTAAAAACACTTACATGCATGCTTTACATTTTATATATTTTTTTTCTTTACAATTATTTGGCAAATTTTAATTCAACTTAGTTCTTGATAACTGCTCTTTATGTTATTATTTTTGTATAACATATTAAACATGTCTTATTGTACAAATTAAAAGTATGTATGAAATATTCGAGAATAGCTAACAATAAATAAATAACTTTTTAGAAATCATTTAAATTTACTTTTTTTGTAAGCATAAAATGTACGCAAAGTATACATAATTTATTTATTTCTAATTTGTTTATGATTAACATTTATCTCTATGTTTATATTGAAATATCTAAAATAATAAATTAATAATAAAAAATTATGTTATTTTTTGCAGGTTTTTCAAACAATAACTATGGAAGTCAGAATAGTAATACATCTAATAGTTGGACATCTAATTCTTCTTATGGCCGTTATAATACAAATTATGAATATACATCTAGTAATAAAAACTGGTCAAGAACTGAGTATACTCACTCAAGAAACAAATATGCTAGAGACTATGATCCACTTAAACCATTTAATGTGTTTATAAATGTAATTTCAGTACCCAAGAATATTATAAAAACTCAAATTGATGTAATGTTATTGAGTTTTATCAAAAACCGTACATTAAAATGGGTTTTGTTTCAACTATTTCAATATCTATGGACATGGGGGTTGAGTAATTTGAATTATAATGTACTGATATCATCGTCATCACCTAACAGTGCATTTGGAGAGTTTATTAAGAATTTACTTGAAAATAAAACAATAAGAATCGAATTAACGGAAATAGAAGCAATTAAGGGTAAAGCAGTCAGAGTGGTTGTTAATGAAAATGAAAAAGTGGTAGTAGTCAATATACCCAGGGGAGTACAGAGAGGCCAATCATTCTACTTGTTTTACCTGATTGACAATGATGATAATGCCAAGTTTAAAAACTGAATTTTGTTACCATTTTTTATTTATTCATTTGTGTAAATTAAAATGTATTTATTTACAGAATTGTGTATTATACATGCCTTTACCTGTTGAATCTGAACAATTAACAACTGCAATTAAACTTTCATGTACACCATTGTCATTGACATATCTTAAGACTACTGCACATCGATCTAATGATATAATAACTTGAGTAGTTTCCATCATAACTTCATATATTTTAACATTTTCCACTTCACTACAAATAAATTTTTTTATTAACAACTTATTGCACCAGTAACATTCAACAGTGGTTTTAGACAGAAATGTTACAAGTCCTCCTCTTCCTTTACTACCACTTCCATGGGCTTTATGGCTCTTCTTTATTATAGTTTTCAAGTGATCTTTTATTTGAAAATCATATTTTGCTAAAAAAAAATTTGATTTTTAAGAAATTTCCATGGTCAACAAATGGATTATCTAATGTGTATGCCATTTCAAATTAATTTCCCCTATAATTCAATCCACACTTTCCAATAAGTTTAACAGCTTTAATCACTCTTGTAACAATTACATGGTTTTTTTTTTATTTTTATTATTTCCTTTTTTAGTTTCACGGAAAAGTAGTGAACTAATATCGTATTCATATGAATGGAGAAGAAAAGCTGAAATCCAATTTTTATGTATTGTGCTTTTTTTCATTTTTATCAATTTGAATTTAAGTATGGCTCCATATATTTATGTCTTTGGTAAAATTATTACTTTCAGAAAAAGATACAAAACACAAATAACAAAATAATTGTTTTTCTGTTAAGAGGACGTCTTACCCGCATGTGTTGTCTTCGTCTTACACATGTACGATACATACAAAACACGTTTACGCGGTCTGAATAGAACTTGCTCAGTTTTGATTCTAGAGTAAATATACCTACTATAAAATTTAATTGTGACAATATTTCTGAAAGTAAAACGCTGCGTTTTTTTATTTAAAAATTTAAATTTTAAAAAGTTAAAGGTCATTTAAAAATGTTGACATTTTTGCTATTTTTAAATAATATAATAACGTTATATTAGGAATAATGGAAAAAACGCAGCGACTTGTCCTCAAAAATATTGTCACAATTTAATTTTATAATAGTTATATTTACTCTAGAATCAAAATTAAGTGAATTCTACTCAGATTAAGTTAACGCGTTTTGTCAATGTTGTACGTGTGTAAAACGGAGATAACACGAGCGGGTATGATGTCCTCTTAATAAAATAAATTGTTTATTGTTCACCAGTGGTGAACCCAGGTGGGTGGACACTGGTCATCCCTTCCCCCTTAGCTTATGTTATAGTATTTATTTTTATTTTTTAAAGTTACCCCGAAATTTTCATCAAATTTTATTGATTAGATTCATTATTAGATTTAGTATTTTGTTAATAACTCGTTGAATTCGATGTATAGGTAGATAAAATCAATATAATGTCTAATGACTATACCATAATTTAACTAGCGTAATAATAATAATAAATTGACATACATTATAAATATAAATTTAAAAATTTAAAAATATGTATATTATTAAATAATATAATTTTGTTTATAAAATTAAATTATTTAAAATTAAATTTTTTTTTTTTTGCAATAAAATGTATTATTTAATACATATTAATACATTTTTTCCTATGTATTAATGTATTATTTAAAGAAAAGGACAAAAAAACAGTCAATAAATAAATTTTTTTGGAACCCCCTTGAATAAATCCTTGTTGCGCCACTGTTGTACACTCATTTAACTATTATCGTTCATTCTTATTTAGATCTTTGTCAAATTTTTACTAAAATATTACAAAATTTACCTTGAAATTATTAAATATAAATTTATTATTATCTATCTTTATATATCCTTGTATATATAAAAGAATAATTCTTTTTTATGTTCCCGTTTTGTGACGACACTAATTAACATTTTACCAATTTTTTTTCACTGAGTTGTACCGAATACTTCTACAAGTGATCGTTATATATTTTTGTTTTATTTATAATTCAACTACTACTACTATTTAGCACTTGATAAAATTAAGTAAAATTTTGAGAAAGCAAAAACTATACACACGGACGAAGCCGAGTAATTCAGCTAGTATACACTATATAATATATAAATGAATCCCAATTTTCCTTGGTCACGGCATTCCGCAAAAACGGCTGGATCGATTTCGATAATTTTTTTTTTTTTGTTGTATTTTTTATTATTAGGAGAAGATTCTTACGGAAGAAAAAATTAAGAAAGTTGCGCGGAAAATGAGTTATTAAATAAAATAAGGAGTTAGATGTACATAAAAAAAAAAATTTAAAAAAAGTACATGCCGTTGTCATAATAAATTAATAAACATAATATTTATTTATTTTTTCTAACCGTTTTAATTTACACTTAAAACAAAAGTTTTAACAGAGCAATGCAATATTATTTTGTCTGTGGCATTACGCTATATTTTGTATTTTTTAACAAGATATTAGTGTATTATATAATTTAAAGACAAATAATTAAAAAAATAATAGCTTTTTCAACCTTAATTTTTTTTATAAAATAGGTAGTCAAATACTTCCCAGGCGAGGCCGGGTAATTCAGCATTTCGGTTAGGCACTTATTATTATAAAAACTTAGATAAAACTCACTTCATTAACACGAGACTTGAAAAATGAATGGATACTTTTAGAAAACTTTGCTTCTAAAATTAGTTTTTTTTTATTTGTCACTAATTTTTTCAGCTTCACCTTTTCGTTTTTTTATTAAATCTTTGATTTCCATTTTATTTTACAGGTAATTCACAACTACTTTAGTAATATATATAGTAACATTTAATGAAAATAATTATTAATTAATATACCTAGTAAAAACATTGTAACATGATAAATACAAACGCACATAAAAAAAATTACTTACTTTTTTAGTCTCTACTGAATATGCGTCGTATTTAGTTCCAAAAAATCAAAATTAAATGGCAAAATATGTGGTGCTGTATGCTGACTAAGTTTTGAATGACTACAGACGAATCAGGAATTATTATATTATTTAGTTGATAAACTAATACATCAATACCTATTTATTACAATTTAAATATTATATAAATTATCTAAATTTAAAATAAGAATATTTTTGTTGTTCAGACTACAGACGCACCTCAACTTCCATCGTTGAAATTCGTCGTCGTCACCCGCTAACCTAACCGACCGATGACAACGCGAATAACCAATTATTCATAGATTTTACTGTCCATGTAAATAGATTTTTTGATTAAACTATTAGAGTTATTGTTATTGTTATTACTTATTAATTATTATTCAATTTTGGCAATAGTTATACAATATACGCTATAGTCTATACAGTATAACTTATAAACGTTATAGTAATATTTATTATTCAATATTCATATTTGCTATTGATCTATTGCTTTTTGTTTGTTTTTTAGAAAATTGCAATTCTTGCTTTAAGAAAAAAAGGTCTATATCTAATTTATTATTGTTAGCTTGCAACCGGCTACAGCCGTGGAACTGTGGAGTTGGTAGCGCACTCAGCGGTCCCGACTAGTTAGCAAGTTTTCCATCAAAAAATTCCCGATGGCCAATCCGTCCCTGTAGCATGCCCTTTTAATACAACCATCAGTGATATAAAAAGCAAATAACAATTAAATAAGGCACAAGTGTGTATGAGCAGATCTACTTGACTAGTATTAAAAAAACAAAGTAGATATACTGCTTTGATTTACAAGTATGAGTGTGGGTAGGAGAGCAAATGCCTTAACTGATTATATTATATATTTTGAATAATCTAAAACACTTTGACTGTTCATCATATACTGTTACAGAATAAAATATTCTTTATTATTTTCTGTTTTTTGAACAACCTAATTTTTTTTAGAATCTTAATCTATCTACACTTTACAATAGTGAACAATGAACAGATTAATATTTTATCAACCATGTCAGTACTCAGTATACTTTCCTGAATATAACCACAATAAATTAATACTTTAGTTTATAATACCATTGATAATACTATTATAACAATCAACATTAATGCAGATTTATTTATCTGAAAAAGTAATACGTTAAAATGTATACATTACTATACATACAAAATTATACTATATAATACTTGAAGATAATTATAATCTGAAAGAAAATCAATAAAATATTGATAATATTGAATTAAGTAATGAATATTTATTATTTTTGAACTCTTTAATTAAATATAATAATCAGTTTTAGTTTTAAACCTTAAACTAAAATACATATTTATAGTTCATAAATTAAACTATTTAATTTTAAATTTTAACCTAATTTTTTTTCATCCTTAACCCACCTACAACTATAAATGTCAATAAAATCTATGAGACTATATAAATAGTAAAAAACTGAAAAATATATTTCAAAGTATTAGTTATAGCCAGGAAACTAATCATCTCCTGAAAGTGAGGTAATTGTATAGTTCTTAATTGTAATTGAATATAAATTAATATTACTGGTGTTACTTATTCATGAGATAAACTGATTGTATTTACTATTTTAATATATTTAAAAATTATCAATAAATTATTTAACCTATGCTGTGTTATGAACCAACAAAGTGAAATTAATTAAATTTATAATTCTGAAAATTTTCTAAATTGTTTTTCTGTAATATAAAATAAGTAGTCGTTCAAATTGTAAGTTAAAAACCAGTCGAAATATGGTTGAACAAAATGTTGTGTACAATAGAAATATACAATATATTAATGTATACAACAAAATATTTATTGCAATGAACACAAAAACAATTATTTTTTTTTATTTATGTTTAGTATTTAAACACTTGATAATTTATATTGCTCTAATTTTTCTGGTTCTATTTCGATAGGATTCTTTGTAGCATCTACATAATGAAGAATTAATGAATCTCCATTAAATATTAATCCATCAGTAACCATACGACCAATTACACGATCCATTTGATTTGATAAATGTTCACCATTTTCTAGTTTGAATATACGCAGTTTAGGAGTGTTACTTTTATCATTTCGATTTTCAATTTTCAAACGAACCGCAAATAGATCTATTGTTCTGCCAACTGTCCAAGTTTTACTGGTGAATAAGGGCACAGGTGAAATAACTTTATTATCTTTCATTGGTGGATGGATATTAAAATAAACTCTGTCGATAACTGGTATTTTATTATCACCCAATGCTTTTCCTTTAAGTTTCATTAAACGAATTTGTTGGGCCATACGTCTTTTTTCTGGCTGTAATTCAGCTTGCCTTAAACTTGCTTCAATCTAAAATAAATGTGATTAGTATTAATTTAAATGATAAGTATAATATTTGCTTACTTTTTTATCAGCTTCTTCTTTAGCTATTGCAAATTGGTCTCTGGATTTCTTAGCTGCTTCTCTTAAAACTTTTCTAGCCTCTTTTCCTGGAAGTTCATCAAGACAACCATGATGTCTATGCGCCAGACAGTAATGTTTATTACATTTTGGGCATAGCATTTCACAAGGATTTTTTAATATACAACTATCATGTGTGCATTCAAACCAAATTGTTTCCTAAAATATTAAATAGAATTTAAATAAAATTATTGAAAATTTAATTTGTAAATACTATTAAATATCATTATGATTTACCAAGTAAAAAGTAATTTTAATATTTATAGTGATTCAAATTATAAAGTATAATTATGACTATTATAAAATGAATATCATGCAGTAGAATACTGTATTTCTTACCAGCTTCAATGCCAAATCATTGTTAGATTCTATAGGAACACATTGATGACTATCAAATCTTGAATGGTCTTTACAAAACACAGCATGACAATTATCACATTTGACGGGCAAAAAATCTAATTGTTTGCAATCTTTGTTGGCACACTGTTTACCAAAATCTGGAAATTCCATGATGAATGTGTCAAACTCGGGGCGGTGGAGGCAATGGATTGTCACTAAGTATGTTTGTAAGAGCTAAGTCAGTCCACTTTGTATCCTGTTGGGTAAGCGTCAAATGAGCATCAGTGGCGTCCGCCTCGGGATCGGGTAATTCTTTGATGGGAACCACTATTTCGTCAAATGATAAGTTTTCTTGACGCCAAGGATCGTCAATTAGTATTTGTAAACGACAGTTGGCTGGTGGAAAACTATCCATAACATTAAAAATTTACCTGAAATAAAAATTTAAAGTTATGAAATAATAAATCGAATTCTATTATGACGTAGAAATTACATTTCTATTTTCTATGTTGATATTACTTACTCACATTAAATAATAGAATACAGAACAATATTTACTTTATTATTTAATGATGATCTGGGTCCGAACTTCTTATTAAAAATTGTTAAAAAAAAATACGTAGAAGATATAAGTATATTTAAACAATATTAAATTTCTTTAACTTCTTTATTTTTTTTTTTCATTAAAACATAAACGATTACTCATTTACTGTTATGAATGATAACAATCGTTAAAACTATGATCTCTAGAATATTCTATTCATGGTTGTTACATACTATACCATGGTTAACTTTATACCGCGTTATTAACAAATTTGAATTTATTTTTATTTTTTCTGTCAAACCAAGATTAAAAAGAATTATTTATTATTATTTATTAGTTTCTTACAATATTACTATAATTATAAAGTTCTTTATAATCGTGTGTCAAACTCCTAAATATTAATTTAGCAATAAATTAATGATATAACCTAGGTTTGTATTTTTATTTTTTTGATAACCAATCAAAATACTAAGGTTGTATTTTGTATACTTATATACTAATTGAATCCTTGAAATTAAATAAAAATCATACTATACGATGTATATCTCGTACCTATATGTCTATTATAAAAATGATTTCTTTCTTAATCTGAAAATCATACTTTTACAGTTTTACGTCTTAATACTTTTATGTTTAGTCGTTAAAATGAACTTTTAAATTTTAAACTAAAATTTAATCTTATATTTAAATTTAATTGCATTTAATATTTAAAATTTTAATTTTGGATTATACACAGTTTTAAAATAAGACACAATACTATCTAATATTATTACAACATAATTATAGTAAAGCTTGAATATTTGATAGTACCTAATCGTATATTGAAGTACATTCCATTTCCAACTACAACCATTATTAAGAATTAAATAAATACGTATTCCTACTCCTACAAGACGACAACATATTTATTTACACACCTAATTATGATATGAATTGTTACTTGTTAAAAATATGAAACAATTAAGTAGTTCTAACTTGTGTATTAAAGATCTAGAATTGACCATTATATTCATTGTAGATATCTTAAGTTTTTATCGTCTAAAAATTTAGGGTTGTAACCATATATTTTTTATACTAGATTTAAAAAAATAAAATAAAACCATAGCTGACTGGTTAAATGGTAGTGCCTCTCTATTCTAGTAAAATCTCAATTAGTTATGCCATCTCATTTATCATTAGCAGGGGTGTCGTATCATTTAAAATAGTTATGGCAAATTTATACATATAGTAGTAAACCTAACACCCATTTCAGCCAAAAAAAGTTCAAAAACTCTCTTTTAACAACTAATTATAAGACAATTTTCAAGTCTTTCTTGATATATAGTATAGTTTGAAGCCTGGTTCTTACACCAATTTAAAGCCCGAAGCGTTTATTGCACGTTTGGTAAATAGTTTCTACAATTCGACCGCACCTAACATAGGTATATTATTAAACAATTGTATAGTCGTGTTTAATATTTAAAAATCCAAACCAACAATATTATAGGTTAGTAACAACAAAATGTCAATAAAGTCGATCAGTCTAGTAAAAAATCCAGGTATTTAATAAAAGAAATTTAATAATTGAGATATAAATTAAAAATTGAATAGCTGAATAAAAATAACTTCGTACCTAATTCTCGTTACATCGCAAATCGCAATATACTATTTACTATAACATAATCACCACAGTCTTAAACTTTTAAGAGTGATTACTGGTTAAGTACTTGCAAATTAAAACTATAGTCTATTAGAGGGTAGAAATGTGTCACTGTCTACTTCATCAGTTATCTATCTATCTATCTAGTATTTATATAGTATATATATATATATTGAAGTTCAATTTATTGTGGACTTTTTGCCTCATACCACTTAATTAAATAGATACCTACTTATTTATTTCAGTACAATATGCATTATGCAAGCGTATTATATGGACAAAAATTATTCGGTTATTGAGACCATTTTGTCAATTGCTCTTCATCCATCTCTTTTTTTTTGCTATTACTCTCCATCTTGTTGAATCTTTTTGACCTTTTACCAGTTACCAGTAGTATTACCTCGATAGTTCTAACTAATAACTATTTAATTTTTTGCTACTTTTTTCTTTTTAATCTCTCTTGAAAATACGGTCTTCGAAAATATTTTAATGATTTTTTAAGTCGTTAATTTTGTAACAATTGATTTATACATTCGAAAATACGAAAAATAAATAACAATAATTTATCGTAAATACAATTTATAATTATATTAACTTTTTAATAAAAAACAAAACAAAGCAAATGAAAAATGAATGAATAAAAAAAGAGTTGGACTTTAGAAAAAAAGAACATGGCTCAAAAGCTTACAAAATATTTTATGGTTTATAATAATAATAAAAAAATAGTATTATTTATGAAAAAATATGTCTGTATTCATTTAGAAAAAACAGTAGTAAACAAGAAAAATAAGAATAAAAAAAAGGAAGAAAAATAACATTAACAAGACAACACAATAAACGAAGGGGGAAGGTATACGAGATGGCGAATCGATGTAAGTTCTATAGCGAGTACAATATGGGCACTTGTCCTTTTTGCAATTTTCTTGCAGCCGATACCGTAGGCAGACGAGTGTTGTGACGACTACGAGACAACAAACACGCCGTAAGGCCCGACAACTTCGGTCGCAAAAGCAACGGTTGATGGTGAGCAGCTAATGTACGATGACATTAATGCGACGACAGCGATACAGACGAAGACTATTTGGGTGACGAACTTTTTGGGCCCAAATAACACGAAGTAAGAGAAGATTTAACGTTGCAGAATCGGCGGCCACGGGAGGCACAATCTAGCCGGCGGCAATGGATTGCTTTGGGGCGAACATAATAGTCAGTATTTTTTCAAGTTTTAAAAATAAATCATAGGAAAAAAAACTCAAAATATACAAAATTATTTTGAAGATTTATTAATACATTTTTTTTTGTTTTCCAAAATTTAAAAAAATGTTTTAGAAAAAATAGACTACATTCTGCTCATTTAGCACCCGAATGTTTATCGTTTTCAATCATTCGTCTTTCCACTTCGGCATCCAGCGCCTTTTGCTTCCTTCGACCAAGAGGTGTTCTCGAATACCACAGGTTGAACGCTTCATCTTCTTCTTTGTAAATTGGATCGTGGCGAGCAAGTGCATTCAGGATTTCTACATGCATCAGAGGGCGAATCGTCAGTTGTAATACTCTTTTGCACGTCATCACCTACATAAGTACAAATTAAAATTTGTTATAAATATATATATACAGTGAAACCTCTTTTAACAGATATCTATAAATATAGGACGCCTCCAATTAGCAGACAATATGTTGGCAACCAAGAATATCCAGTATTTAGAGGTTTCACTGTACCTATATATTATGTATCTACATTATATGTATGTATTTTAGATAGTGGAACATAATATAAGTAGTGAAAATACTGTAAAATGTTTTGTGTAAATTATATAATAAACGCTACTAGTCTACATAATATTTTAAATGATTCAAAAAAATAATTATAATACCTCTTGGAGCACTTTAATAATAGTTCCGATGCTATAGCCATCAGATAGTTTTGCCAAGGAGCTAACGTCAAATTTTCGACTGAGTCCACTATACTGAAATAAAAGATCATTCCATATGTGATACAGACTGGCATAATCCGGGCGAGGTATGACGATTATTTTCCCATACGTGCTAGTCAAAGATTTTTGATCGCAGTCCCAGGGACAGCAAGAAGTGCCAAGCAACAATATCTGAAATGCAAGTAGTAGGTACATAGAAATTTCAGTTAGGTATTATACAAGTGTGTTAGTTAATAATAATTAATAAATAATTATACATGATACATCCATTATCCATACAGAGTGATTGATTATTATTTATCGCATATATGAAATAGCTCGATATTCAAACATTTCAAACCTAACAGCCTAACTTGTTCATCCGTTACTAACTGTTGGTGAAATAGTAAAGAAATAGAAACAATCACTCCTTAAATTTTTCATTACAAATCGATAGTGTATTGTATAATATGAAAATATTTCATGTAAATTGTTGGTATTATAATTGATATCCGGTAAATATATATACTTAACCCTGTCTGTTGGAGCGATAACCTTGACAAGCTTAGGCAAGTCTTTTTTAAGCCTTTTCGGATCAGTCTTATCAGTTTTCGGTACTTTTTTCATAAATGTCTTTTCCGCATCTTCGATGAATATCACTGACGGTTGAAGCAATCTATGTATAATAGTATAAGTATATTGCACATTTAACATTTAATTTAATATACAATATGCATTGATATTTATATTTTATAGATAAACACTGCATGATAAGTATATGTGCATGTACTTACGTATTAAAAATTTAAAACATATTGTATTATTTTAATAATATCGAGGATTTTGGTATTTTTGAATTCATCGTTCAAATATGGCATATAAAATATATCTATTGTATATAGATACACCCAATAATACATACATAGACTATATAACCCTACACAAAAACTCCATCTTACTACATTATAACTGATTAAGTTAACTTATGACAATATGAATGGTATATTATAATAATTCATAACAAGTAAAAACTCCTAGCATATTTTTCCCCAAATCAAATTAATTTAACTAAGTATATTAATATTTATTATAAATACTGTAGTATTTATAATCAATAATATTACTTCACTTTTATTTTCCATGTATTAACATTTAATATCTATCATATTATGTAGGTATGAACTATGAATGTATAATTTTGTACACATAAACATAACTAAAATAAATCTTAAAAAAGATGTTCACTGAGTAGGAAACTGACTAATCTGTGCGCATGCTTATGAATTATGATGATAAAAATATGACTACAGCTATCTAGTAATCTAGTTAATGTTTATATCTATAACCTTCAGGGCCGCATTAAGAATAATGTACCGTTTGGTATAAACAAATTTTGCCTCTACCTATTTTCAATTTCATATAGGTACTAAACTACTATAATTACCTATGTTTTGTTTTTTTAGCCAACAAATGTTTATGTACAGTTTACAGTGGCCATAATTTGTCCTAATGTTATGTAATTTATAAATTTACTACAAGCTTTTATTTGTCATTTCTAATAAGGTAACATCATAATATATTATGATTTTTTTAATCAGTTTTTTTTTTTTTAATATACTACTATAATTTATATTTTATATTTTTATACCATAATATTTCTATACAAGATAAATATCTATTTATACATAGACTGTAAATTAAATTTTTTTATTTTAATTAATTAAAATTGAAATGATTAATACATTATAGAATAGTTTTTTTAGTAAATTAACTAATTCATGTCTTTTAAATTTTACAATATTTATTTTTTTTGCTATTTTCACCGGAACCGCCTTAAATTGGTTTCTTGTAATAATTCTACCCATTGCAGCAACCTCCTTAATGTGACCTATACCCCTGCATATTAATACGATGCAAGCATAGCCCCAATAAATGGTAATAAATAATTATATGACCTGATGAATTTACATAAATATAATATAACGCAACCTGGCCACTTTGTTGACGAGATGGAGTAACATGGTGAGTCCCGATTTTCCGGGATATTTTCCCACGATGTTGGCCGAAGTCAAGTCGAACAGCGTAGCCCCCAGCTCGGTGCATACGGCGTTGACCAGGGTGTGTTTGCCGGATCCGTGCGCTCCGGCGATTAGTACAGAACGCACCGCAGGCCCGGCCTGATGTATCTGGTCGCTGAGCATCGGCAGCACGCAGCTGTCCCTGACTGCGTGCCGGACGTCACCAAGCGTTGGACTTGGATCGTTGTCCCACCGCATGACATCACAACCAGCGTACGACGCGTCTCCCTTGAATGAGCTTAACCGGATGGCCGGATACTTATGTATAATACCGTTCATCACCAGTTCTTCGAACAACGATTCCAACTGCAACAGTGCATCATTCACTCAGAGCCAAGGGAGGTTAATGTTGTATGGAGCATAAGAGCCCACTCACCCCTTCTTCACCGCCAATGACTAACAATGTTTTATGCGTTAACTAAATGTATCGATGTAGTGATTCCCGACATAAATTTTATTTTATAATTATAAACCAGTAAATTGTGATTGACTTTTAACATAATTGATAATAATGATAATTTGGTTAATTTTATTTTTCTTTCTTGGGAATTGTCAAAAGGTGTTAAGAAGCAAAATAATCTTAAACATTATAATATGTAGAAATTTTACAAAAAATTGAATACCTATATTTTTTTATTTTAAGGCGATGTTTTTAATATTGAATAGTATTCTGTATCGATACAGTAGGTAATGCACTATTAATAATGATACACCGATGTACTAGTACCATATGGACATATGGTACATAAAAATAATTAATATTGTGAGTTATTTCACCATTAAAGCATCCCATGGTCTACGTTCGAAAGTATAGTACTTTTCTATTACTATAAAATAGAGATAGTGGTATTTTGTAAGTATTTGGTTGTTAGTTGGTAGAGGTTATTTTACTTACACTTATGTTTAAGCTATAAAAGCATTTAAAGCCCAACTCGAAAACAATTGAGCAGTTAATACAATTGTATAAGTGATATCCCTTTAAAAATGCACTCCTCCATGGAATTTTTTGTAAAAGACGAATGATTTTTTCGAGTTTAAATAACACAGCAGTACCCGCCAGTACCTGACTTAAAACTCTATATACCTACGTATTTAAACTACTGTATGAGTATGATTATACTGAACTACTGGTAAGTACGTAGTATCAAATATTGATTACCTAACTATTTTTTTACCCTACTTTAATTCATTTTCATATCGAATTCATTAATCCATACCTTTTATTTATATAAACATATAATAACTTACTTTTAACGTATGATTTATTACAAATATGAATTTTAGTTGTTTAAACTAAAATATAATTTAATTTATATGAATCTAACTTCTAAGATTCATATTTCTAAACGAATATATCATAATTCACAGATGCTAATTATTGGGAATAATCTGGTTTATTACTACATTTATTAGATTCACTACTGGTGTAACCAAGTAGCCAGTAGGTGCATATTTAATTGGACCTAATTTTATAAAATTATAACTTATACATAGTTAGTAATATTATAGATAAATAAATAACCAATTTATTATAATATACTTACATTTTTATGATATTCATTATTAAATTAAAATTAAGTATTTTAAGTTATTATTTATGTACCTAAGTAGGTATATAATGACTTGTGCTACAGTATATTTTGTTACATACTTGATAATTAATACCTACTTACATAGTTACATTATAGATACATAGATGGTTACTAAACATCACTTAAATGTATTAACTATGCAGTTGTGCAAGTCATTATTTAAATATTTGTAAATATACTTTGTTATTGGAATAATTAAAAATAATATTGAAGATGTATATTTTAATTTGTAAATATAAGAAATAAAGAGAAATGCATTGGTATTGTAGTTAGGTATATTATTATAATAGTAAATAGACATAAATTGTATGGAAAAGAAATAACATTTATCTAAGTGTAGGTAATTAAGCTATATAGTATATATCCTTATGAATTATGTATAAATATTATTATGATTTAATCGTACCTGCTTATTCAATTTGATAGTGTGCATTGTATATTTATTGAGATTAAAAAATAGCAACTAAATTTAATTTTAGTAATAAAATTTTTGCAAATCATAAACATTTATTAGAAAAATTAGACTTGAAATAATACTACACTTTATAAAATATTTTAGACAGCAATTGGAAATCTACAATTATATTTTAATGTTTATGTTTCTAACAGATCATTATTTTTCAGCTTTACACTATTTTAATAATATTTAATTGGAAGCCATTAATTTTTTATCTAATATATATTAGGTACAATATCAATAAGTTATTTTAAACCAAAACCAAATTAGCAATAAATCAATTTATAGACATAACTTTACCATAGTGTATTTAGTTATTAAGCATACTTTTAGCTTTAAGACAACCATTGCATCTATTCTGTGAACTCCCATATTTAATTACATTATTATTGCTTAGACATTAATTATTTTTTTGCTGTTTAAATTATAAAATAATAACTAATCATTGTTAATATTTACGGTTCTATCAGGAGTTAAATCCTTGTCCCGTTTTTTCTTTGCTTTTTTGTTACTTCTTTTTACTTTTTTCTGTTTCTTTGATCTTTTGGTACGAATAGCATTATCTTTATCAAGTGCATTTTGCAAAATTTCAAGTTCAGCTCTTAAATGTACATCAACTATCTAATTGTAAAAAATTTTTTTTTTTCAATGATTCAAAGGAATTTTGTATCTATATATTTGCCAAGTTACCTTCCGTAATTCTCGTTCTACTTCAGCTACTTTTTGAGCCTTAACAATACTTTTAATATGCATTTGACTCGTGTTTTTTGATTCATCCATTCCTTTCCATACTTCTTCATATTCTGAACTTGCCAACATGAGTTCTTGGAGAAAATTTGAAGGTCCCATTTTGAAACCAACATCTTCTTCGTCAGCTTTTTTTTTAACTTCTTCCTTTGATTCTTTTCCCGCAATTGATTTGCTTTTGTGACCTAAGTAATAAAAGAAATTAATTTTAAAATATTAGATATGTACATTAAACTTCTATGATTTGTAATTAAAACAGAATAAATTAAACTAACTCTTGGTTCCTTTAGACGATGACTGACTAGTTGATTTACTGTGAGAACTGGCAGTTTTGTATCTAGTATAAATTACTGCAGACCCACCACTTTCTTCTGATGGTAAATCTGGAAATTTACCCGTTTGTGATTTAACTCCCATGTACCATGCTCTTACTTCATCTCTGATATCTTCTTTCATTTTTTCTTTCACATGGTCTTTAATCTTTTAAGTTTCAATATTTTATTGTCAAATTATTAAATCATAAATAAAGAATTAAATGAATAAAATTAATACTTCTTCTTTTTCCTGTATTAGTGCTAGTTCATATTCCTTCTGTCGTTTTATTTGAACAATCCTTCTAGCACTCTTAACTTCTTCAACTTTTTGTTGTTCTTCGGTATCAATTGAGTTTGGAGGTAACATGCCAATCAACAACATTTCTTCAACAACTCTGCTTCTTATTTTTCTCCGCGTTATAAAACCTCGCCATACTCTCTGTATTTTCATTGCAGCTTTTTTTGCATTATCACTAAGTTCAACATCTCCAGCGTCAGGTTTATTCATTGCTCTAACCTCCTTCATGAATTGAGCTCTCATTCGTCCCTGTCGTGCCCTCTCGTGCTTTTGTATTAATAATATTGCTTGTCGAATGGGCATATCAACTTCAATTTTTTCTTCTTCATAAAAACCTGTTTTCTTCAAAACTTCGTCAATAAAATTATTCTGCCATTCAATTGTTTTAAGCCTTTCATTTCGATAATGTGATGGTATTGTCAGTTCTACATCTTGTGGTAATAACCCTAGCTGTGCAGTGGCTGAGTCCAAGTAAGTAAATTCGTTATAGTTCAAATTGACCATGTCGTTTTTTAGTTCTAAATAACGTCCCAAAGACAATTCCAGAATGTTTCTAATAAGTATTCGTTTCTGAGGTTGAATAACTTGATCATAACACTCATCCAATTTATTAATAGCTAATATATAACTGACCATGACAGTGGATAACTCTTTAAACACAACAACTTTATCTTTATTGATTTTAGATGTAAGTAGGTTCGAGTCATTTTTTGTAGCCTCGTCCAGTATTAATTGAGCTTGTGCCCACAGTTCATTATATGTTCTATAAGACATGACTAAACATTTAATTGTTAAGTTACACAAAAACAAAGTCAGAATTATTTTTATTATCAACCCTTTAGTTATTCATGTTTAATCAATAATAATGTGTAACTATGTCTGTGTTCAGTCAACCATGACAACAAAATAAAAGTACTTGTATAAGGGGATGTTTTATAAGATTATTTAGGTTTTTTTTTTTAAATCAAAGAAAAACAATTTAAAATTAACTTTTTATTGTATATTAAATTGAAAATATTTCATACACATTGAAACATAATCAATATCCTTAATTTTGGATGTGTTTACATAATAACACATTAAACATAACTAAACTATAATTTAATTACTATCATTTTTATCAAGTCCAAGATCACTAATAAATGCTTTAGGATTAGGATCCCGTCCTTTGAAACGTCTGAATATTTCTCCAGATGGACAGCTTCCACCAAATGCAAAAAAAGTATCTCGAAAGCTAAAATTATTAAATATCAAAAATGTAAAATATGAAATATTTATGAAAATGAAATCCAAATATTACTTGTTTCCTAAATTTTTAGTGGTTTCATCAGGAACTTTAAATGATTGAAATACATCAGCTGCTATTATTCTAGACCATAATCCTGAGTAATAACTTGCTGCTCCTTGTTCATTTGACATAACTTCAGCAAACCTGCATGGAAAACTGTTCCATTTACTTAATGGAAATCCATAATAATTACTCCACATTTCTTTCACCAGATCATTCCAATTTGTTTTGCTAAAAGATAAATATAATATTTGCATACATTAAAGATAACTATAAATCAAATTCAATATAATAATATACATAGTAATGATAGTATGATAGTATAAGAAATATAAACACAATTGTTAAAAATAATTAAATTATAGAAAGGTGTTATTCATTCTTTTTTTATTTCAGCAAACATTTTTTTTAGGAATTGATTTTAACAAAATACTTGTTTAAAAGTTATTTTTTTATAAACATAAATTACTATAAGATTATCAGTGGGGAATCATAAGTCTTAAGGTTGAGAATGCATTGAAAAAAAAGAAACCAGCATAATAACAATATTATTGACAATCATACTTAAGACAATATCATACCAAAAATAAACAAATAATAAATTAAAAACCAACCACCATTAAATATTGAAGACGAGACTGATAATTTAGTTTATAACAATCACTTAAGAATAAAATTTAAAATAAATGAATGGTGAAACATGTGACATGTCTCGTAGCATAACAGTAACCACCACCCGTTTTCCAATTTCCCATACACATTACGCTTAGCAGAATAAACAAAAATTTACATTATCTCATATTTATTTTTATATTGTACTTGGATATTTACTTGATTGACTTGCCATATGGAACACAGTTGACTCGCGCAATTAGTCTATTCTAAAAATATTTAACAAAAACAAAAAGTTTTTGACAAATATATGTATATATATCATAACATAATTAACATTCAATTTTGTGATTCTTTTTTTAAATTTATTAAATTCTAATTATTTGTTTGTATTCTAAGTAGGTAGATATTGTCTCATTGTCTCCAATGGCGCTTAATCTCTAAAGATTACCAATTAATAATAAAATATAATATATATATTTTTTTAATTTCCGTATTTTCTAAATAATGCATATTATTATATTATAAAATTATCTTTTTATTTTTTTTATACTGAGATTTTATGGATTTGGTAGATAGTAGCGTGTTTACGTTGGAAACTGAATTATGATTTAGGTAATATACCATGTTGGTTAATTAATGGAATAATTCTATACAAGATTAGTTTTTCAAAGAGCTTTTCAAATTGTATAGTAAACTGATAGGATGATATGCACTAGTGAGTAGTGAAGACAAAATTTTAATGTTATATTCTTACCAAGTATGCATTTTAATGTCAATCATAGATTTGTAGAGTTCATCACAAGTATTGAATCCAGCCATGTGTTGTTTTATTTCAGTCAATTGATCATTAGGTAATCTTTTACCTGTCTTGTAGTGGCTATTTATACTGTCAAATGTCTCTTTATCATACAACCTAGAAGAATAATTGATATTTTAAATAAATTTAAATAGCAATATGGATATTTCACAAAATATTAATTACCAATGAATCATAAAATTACTAGTTATTCCGACAGCATCCCATTCGACATTATTTAAACCAGATACTTCAGCATAATGTACTTGACATAAAACATTTTGCAGTAAATGACCAAACTGAAATTAAATTTTACAAAAATATTATGAATATTATCAGTTATTGAGTCATGTATCAACAAAGAAAACATTTACTTTTCCAAACAACGTTTTCACTTGGTCAAAACTCAATAAGCTTGGGTTTTTATTCTGTATTGATGGAAAATTCATTATTAGAGCTGATAAAGGTAATACTTTTTTTGGTATTGATGAAGCAGTCCTATGAGTAACTAACCAACCAGGTTCACCGACAGCTTTCATTTTTTGTGGCCTAAAATTAAATTTCTTATAACACATTCACTATCAATTTGTAAATAAATAATTAAGGTACTTACCGGGAACAAAGGTCTAAATAAAATCCAGCTACAATAGAAGGGTCATTTTCATGTAGTATTTCATAATATTTGACATCAGGATGCCAGAGATCAGCTCTATTTGGCATTTCTAAAATGCGTATTCCATAGAGTCTTCTACATAGTTCAAACAGACCATCTAAAACTCGATTTAATGGGAAATACTCGGACCACTGAACTTCATCATAACTAAAAAAAAAAAAATAATATATTTTATATATAAATGAGCAAAACATAACAATGTGAAAAATTAAATTGGATACAAAACTTACCCATAAAGTTCTTTTTTTTGTAATCTTGCCCAGTAACCAACATCCCACATTTGAATAGGATATTCATTACCCTTTTTATTTGAAAAAACTTGTAATGATTCTATTTCTTTGTCTTGTAAGGGTCTTGCTGTAAATAATTGTTTATTGAATAATAAATATAATGTATCAAATCTAAACAACTCAAATATGTATTTGTTGTACAATTAAGTAAAATATTAAATTATGAAAAATACCTTTATCCAATACTGTCAATAATGTATCTTCTATGGCTGAAATTGAAGGTGCCATCTTTGTCATCAATGATAGTTCACCATAATTTTTAAAACCCAATTTTTCAGCAGCTTCAAGTCTAAAATGTATACAAGTATTAAACAAAAATTAATGAAATAAATAATAATTATAATCATTAATATTAAATTATTTATTGTTTTTGAAAATTTTTTTGCTAAGAACATTATTAATTATTATTTAACTTACCTTAATTTTCGTATTTCTTCAACTTCTAAGCCATTGTTGAGTTCTCTTTTTTCGTCAGCGGGTGAACCAGCTTTTTCATAAGCTTGCCAGACATTCCAACGTAAATCTCTGTCTGGACAGTACTTAATAAATCTATCTGCAATACCCCATGTCAAGGCAACTTTCCATGGACGTTTCTTAGGATTATTTCTGTAAAATAAACACAAATAATTTATGTATAAATATATATTTTTTTTAATTGCAAAATAATTTTACTTATTTAATGCCATTAATGTCAAAAGGTCTTCTGGAAAATCTTTTACTAGTTGTGGATTATCAATTATTTGTTGAAATTGACTCCATGCCATCTAAATACACAATATTCATTTAGATAGACAATTTTGAAGTAATTACAGATTTTATAGCTAACAAAAAAAGTATTCACCAAAGACTAATTTTTACCACAATATTTTTATTAATAATATTTATCATTAATCATAATGTATGGCTAACATTAACACATTTTTTTGTGGAGATATCAACAACTAAATCAGAATTCCAAACAAACATAATGTTTGTTATACAAAAATACATTATTATAAACCATAATGATCAAACTTAATCCAATTAAGGTAACATATAAAAGGTACACATTTATAATATTTCAATCATAGTCTTAAGTTAAATATATTTGTCAAGTTAAACTACAACAGTATAAATAGATTAATCTTACTTCTAAACGAATTTTAAAGTATTTTTGTTTAGCACTGCATTTTTGTTTATTTGCTTTAAATGAATAATCTAGTTTTTCACTGAGTTCAAGTCCATTAAGTTTTCCTTCTTTAATAAATTTATTTACAACTGCAACTTGTTCTTCGGTTAATTTAGACAAATCAGCTTTCTATAGTTAACAATGTTATACATTTTAGATATTTATACATACAAAATAATTTAATTCAAGAAAAAAATACTAACTTTACATGCTTCATAAATAGGTTTGCTGTTGTATTTTGTTGTATGTGACATACATGCTTTGTTGTGTATTGGATAATATATTCGAGCTGGCATAACTGACATATCAGCCAAATATAATGTTTTTAATACAGCCCACATTTGATCAAATTTAAGACTTAGATTTTCTATTGGTTCTAATACATCTTTAAACAAGTCGTATTTTCCATCTTCAACTAAAAAGATAAATAGTGCAAGAGTAAAATGGTAAGTTAGTTGATCATTACACAAAATAATTTACCTGAGTTAAGGTAATCTTCAATATCACGTATACCACATTCGAAATCAATTAACTGATTACTAATTGTGTTTTCACATTTTTTTATATCTAAACCCGTAAAATTTGGGTGGTCAGCATTTACTTGTAAAAGACTTTCTGTTAAATCTTTACTGATTTCTGGCAATCTAAGACATTTATGTTTAATTATTTATCAAACTTATTCAAATACTAACACTATTTGAATAAGAAAAGTGCAACAATAAAATTACAGCTACTGTTATATTAATATTTGATATAATAAAAAATAATAAAATTTATTTTTGCTCTTTTGTGTAAGGAATTTTCAAATCATTTTTCAACGTTCATTGATACATATATATATATATATATATATATATATATATCAGTATACTTACAATACAATATATCCATTTCGACTAGGTACTCTGGTTAATGCACAATTCTTGTGTTTTGGTATTATGTTTTGACACAATCTTGTGCAACGTGAAATAAACAACATTTTGAATTAATAACAGTTGATTGAATTAACTAATAAAAATCTAATTTAATGCTTTCTCATATTTAATATTCAATAATAATTAATAATACAAAAAAAAATTAATATCGCTTTGGTTTACATTTAATAATATTCTATGTATATGCTATATAGTTACTAGTTAATCGAATTGCTGTCGCTTTTTAAAATGAACTTTCTTATCATTTATAAATTATCAGTAATATTTTAAGGTTAATACAATAATTATTATCACTGATATCATTATTACAGTGAATGGGTATGCTGATAAGTGATAAATTGATCCCGTGACTATGCGGCATCGAGACATTCGAGACCCAGGTGAGAATTTATACAAAAAAAAAATAGTAGGTCCAAGTCATTCAGATTCTGAGAGAAAATGATTCCAAGTCAATTAGATCCGTATTGTTACAATGTGTGGTTTGGATCTCAACGACTCGGGTCCTATTTATAATATTACTCTATGGTCTCTATGGTTCATACACCACAGTGAATATAGTTACATGATAAGTATTATCATGGATAATACTTAGCTAGCTAGGTAGGAATTTTACAAGGTTTATAAACCTTGGGAATTATAGGATATTAATTAATAATTATATTATTTTTATCTAATATCCCGTTAAAGTAGTAAAATTAAAAATACTAAACCATTATATATAAATATATATCATATTATATAATTTATAATACGCTAAATTTTTATTTTTTGATATAATTTATTACTTATTGCTTGTTGTATTCACCAGAACCCGCAGATTCACATCAGAATTAATAAAACATTAATATTTAAATGTATTAATTATTTTAATTATTTTTGTTTTTAAAATATACGTGTAAAAATATTAATTATGTTCGACAAAAAGATGTTAAATGCTTTTCCTCAAATATCCCACAAAAATTTAATCAATATACTGAAAGATATGCCTGGACCCAAAGACTTAGTTGTAGAACATAGACTTTTCAAACCTCTTGAAATGTTCATCGATATGAAAAGCTTAAGGTATGATTTTTTTGAAATTCTGAATAATGATGATTTATAAAATATGTTTTTTATTAAAGGCTTTATGGGGTAGAAAAGGTGTATAAATTACAAGAATCGGTCAACCCAATTACCAATCGGCAGTGTGTTTTTTTGGTGTCGTCTAATTTACCAGCAACAAAAATTATTTGTGATCTCATTAACTCATGTTTAAGTATGACAAGCTTAGCTGAAGATATTATTAAAGTCATTCTTGTTCCTAGGTCATTGATTACTATTGAAAAACAATTTGAAGAGGAAGGTGTCTATGGGTACATTCAAATATTTGAATTTCAATGGGATTTCATTCATTTAGGAGATTCGTTACTTTCATTGGAGATGATAGATTTCTACAAAAATGTGTTTGTTGAAGAAAATCAATCTTTGTTAATGCCTGTTGCTAAAGCACTGTGGACAGCTTTTATGGTTTTAGGGTTTCCTAAGACTGTTTGTATAAATGGAAAGTCGTCTACTGCTGTTTATAAGTTATTAAATAGATTTTTCACTGAAAGAGGAAAGCCTAGCATTAATAATGGATCGTGTTTTTGTATTTTAGATAGGGATTTTGATTATGCAAGCGTTCTATTAACTCCTTGTACGTATGCCAGTCTTTTAGATCAAGTAGTTGGTATACAAAATGGTATAGTCGAAATAAAAAAGAATGATGGAACTACATCTATAAAAAACTTATGTAATCCTGATGAAACTTATGAATTTGTCAAATACAAACAGTTTGGTGATGTATTGAATTACTGGAAATCAAAATCAAAGGAATTGCAAGATAAACTTGAAAAGAGTAAAAAACTGCAACTAGACGAAATGAAACAATATGTTACACAAGAGTTACAAAGTGTATTAATGTCAAAAAAAAATCTTACGTTCCATATAGATGCATCCGAAGTTGTATCAAAAGTAATAGGTGATAAATTTATTGATTATATTACACTTGAAAAAAATATGTTAGAAAATAGAAGTCGCAAAGAAAACTTAAACTGTATAGAAGATTTATTGGCTTTTGGAAAGGGTAGTGCCAATAATATACTTCAGCTTATTTGTTTATTTTCACAATCCCAAGATGGATTTACATCAATAGAATTAAATAATATTAAAACAAAATTTTTACATCAATATGGATTCAAATATTTTGAGACTTTCCACGTTTTAGAGAAAATGAATTTAATAGTAAAATATGATAATAGCTCTGTTTTAAATAGTAATTTGAATAAAATTATATCCATTAATAAAACTAAGCAGATGATGCAAAACATGATGCAGAAATTAAGGCTTGTAGATGATAGCGAGCATTGCATGAGTGCAGCATTTGGTGGATCATATGTTCCTGCTATTGGTAAAATAATCGAGATTATTTGTAAAGAAGAAATGCCCGAGGAAGAAATTGTTAAATTATTATCTAACTATTCATTTCAAGTAAATGACTTTAAGACAGGTATAAAAACAGTGTTTATTATGGTAATTGGAGGTATAACATACGCTGAACAAGCAGCTCTTCACTTTTTAGAAAAGTCAATGAATATAAAAATTATAATTTTTAGCACAAATATAATTAATGGAAATATTTTAATAAATTCTTGTTTGTAGGTATCATATAAGTTTAAATTACATATAGATAGTAAATTATTTTTACTTTTTACAAAGAATGTTAAATTTTAATGTTCAGTCCTTATTTTGGATTTTCCTTACATGAATAAAATGTAGAGACTAAATAAAAAATATTAAATAGTACATTAATGTTGTAATAGAGAATTTTATTTTTGATACTATTATTAAAAGCTTATTGACTATTAATTTTAATATGTTGTGCAATGGTTGGTATATGTGTAACTTTAAAGTGAATATTAAATAATTGTTTATGTTTAATTTTTATTTGATTGATTTTGAGATGTTTCAATATTAAAATTGATTACTACTATTTATTTAATATTTATTAATTGTGGATAGGATACTTTAGCATCACATACGTTATTGTCTTATTAAGTATTACTGTATTAGTGTGTTACACACTAGTTATTATATCATAAATTACTAATCATAGTTAAGTTTGACATTTTTTGAAAATAAGTAGGTACTGAGTCGTTCATGATGAATTACTAACAATTTATTTTCATTTAAAATTTAATATATTTGTGAATTATAATTTCTTTTTAAAACTAAAAATATGAAGAAGCAAAACATTAAAATTGTATCCTTATTTAAAAAAATCTAGCATAGTTGTTATAATATCCATGTAATACTTATTAGATATCTTAATATAATCCATAAAATAAATTTTACAATTTAGCTATGAGTAAACACCAAATAAGTTTTTAGTATTACAATAACAAAAATACATTATCTATAAAACCATGCTAGCATATTATTTAAATATTTCAGTTAAATTTATGGGAATTTTAATAATATTTTTTTAAATATTGAAACTGTATTAAAAACATTCCATTTTATAAACAGATTTACATTTCTCTATACATAAAGAATTATTGTAAAATAAAAGAATGATGCTCCATTAATAATTAATTTTTTAGTTTATACCTTGTACCAAGTTAATGAAGCGTAAGTTCTTGCATAATGATATACCAATAAGAAATGAGTTTTAACATAATTACCAGAGGTGTTGATGCTGTGATAAGGACTAAGGAGTACAAATACTACAAATGCCTCTCCCTAGTCCCTTTTAAAATCAAAAAAGAAAATTTAAGATGAAAAATATAAATATAGGTACAAGGCTCAAATATTCGAAAGTATATCAAATAATTTAAAATCTAAAAGAAATTTAAATATAATATGTAGTACAAGTCAGCTATGTAATTTTTATAATAATCATACATTATTCGTCAAGCACTCGTTCCTACAGCAATTAAGTTGTCTGGGCTTTATGTCCAGATGTAACCTTTCTAGTTTCTAGAACCTTGTCAGTCGTCTATTGGTTTCATACATAATAATACAATTATCGAATAGTTATATTAAAAATGAACAATTAACAATATAGGTTATTATAATTTAAATTTAACTAAACTATAATGAATTAATGAGCATACATTTCGGTTAATGTAAAAGCGTTCAGTAAAATAATATAAAATTATTTAATTCAGTTTTTATGGTTTTACAAACATATTTTAAAGTATGACATGTGAAAAAAACAATATTTTTTTGGAGTTTTAATAAGATGTGATTGTATTTCATTTGTTTTAAAAATACAAATAAAAAAAAAATACTGTTTTATTCTATAATTATAATCATTTATCATAAATAAATGAATAATAAAACTTAATATAGAGTTCTAGACTCTAGTAGATACAAATGATACAATACAATGAATTCTCCATATCTAGCTAGGTATACCTATAATCGTTGATTATAAATTGTACAATTACCTACTAAACAATAAACCATTAATACTTATTTAATGTATAAATAGGTAGGTACTAAAACATACTATTCACGCATCATTATTCATTACAATAACGCGTAGATATAATTATTATAGAAAGAAAGTTGAAAGATAGATAAATATAATTGGTTTTCGATGGCTTAATCAATATCCAACGGATAAAAATAAAATATAGCTAGTTAAATATCTGTATAGAAGTTAGAGGCGGAAATTTAATGCTCTACAAGCAGGATGCTCGTGTATAGTTTTGCGATTTAAGAGACTAAGTGCAGTTAAGCTTTCCTTTAATATCTAAATGTTTATGCGAAAAAAAACATGTCCTGGAAAAAACCTTTTGTGTTTGTTTGCAATATAAAATATACATTATTTGTACATAATATTAATTTATGCATGTTGACATGTTAAATAACGTTTTAGTCTTTAGACCATTGTTGCACTTTATGTTTATTGTAGATGCTGTTTGAATCTATAGTCTATACTCTAAACTGTCTAAATTCTAAGAGTATAAACACATTACTTATTATTTATGTTTTTTAGAAATATAAATTATAATATTATATAGGTACTCTATTGCTTATTAGACAGCTATTTATAATAATATGTTTATAGTGATGTACAGTGTACGATAATTTCATATTTTAAGCGAGTTATTAGTAGTTACTAGTTAGTTAAGTATGAATCAACACAAAATCGGTATGCTGATTGCTGACCGCTGAACAAAAATTTGCAATGTCTTGCTAAGCTTTGGTATATTATAATATAAGAGGCAATGTTTATAGTCTATTTGTTTATGTTTCGTCGAATATAGCAAGAAAACTATATTTATATTATAGTATTATACAGATTTAAATGTATCGCTATATCAATGTATTAAAACCATAGTATATTGTATACCTAATATTTAACTGTTTAAGTCGTTTAAGGAATATTTAAATGTATACTATACTATTGGACATTGGTAGTAGGTGTAGTACAAAGTACAGTTATTATAAAGGCACAATTATTACGATTCGCAGATCACGGATACGGGTCAAACACCTCTCTTTGTCTCTACCGTGCTTTTTTTTTTTGCTAATGACCTCGACGTGATGACATCGTCTATTATATAATTAAGCGAGCCGCCGAAAATACTATCATTTTTTTTTAATTTTAAAATAGAAGCCGGTGATAAGGAAATTAATAGGGCAACCGAGGAGTGATATCGCAAATAAATTCTTTTTAGCTTTAATTTAAAAGATAAGTTTTCAAGATAAAGGTATTAGTTATGATTGGGTAATGGGTTATTGTACCTATGTAGAATTGTTGAATGGTTTCTTTGCTTTTGTTACCCGATTACCCGAACGACCTAAAACAAGCTTCCAAATACATATTGTATAAAAAAATTAATTTAAAGATTATATTGTATAAATAAAACAAAAAAAAGATAATGTTTTTGAGTGATATAGGTATTTTAACGTTCGGAACTCTTTAAATAAATAATAAAGGAAATTATAGTAGATATTTTTGTTAAACTAAGTGAAAATTATAATGACACATCTCAGTAAATTCAAATTGACAATGGTTTCGTATTTTCAAAATAATTTATGCTACTTTTAAGATCATAAATTCTATGTAAGAATCATAGAGCATCTATAAGCGGCTGTAGGTAATAAAAATATAAAATCATTTCTTTATGTGGTATTGTGGTCTTTAATATGAATAAGTATGATAATGGATAGGTATTAATGCCCTTAAGATGTTTTTTTTTTCAAGTACGAGTTGTATTTTCCTGGGCCGCCTTAAGGCCACCAATAGTAAGAGTATAAAGGAAATCCCTATATATATATATACTCTTAGCCTTATTCAACCTCGGATCTATTTAAAACAAATACAAATAATATCTAAATTATTATATGACTCTTATCATTATTAATATTATTTTAATTTTTTATTATTCATTTATATGACTTAGAGTCGTCTTTAAAGTATGGCCTGTCTAAAATTCTAAAGTGCAACTATACGATCAAAGCCAAATAATGAATATTAAGTGTAATTGTGTAAATAACTTTTAAGAAAGTCGCACTATACTGCACGCGTTTTAGAGTAGATAAGTTATTTTAGTTTAATCATTGTAAATGATAGGTACTAACTTTTACGATTTTTAGAAATTAATAGCAGAACGTTTTTTTTCTCCTAGTTCCTACAGAAAAGTCGGGATAACTGAGATTAGCTATAATGGTTCTTATATAAAAAAAAAAGTACAGACATTCGATGACAAATGACTATCTTTAAAAAGTAGAACGTAGATGTAAATATGTTATTACCAAGTACCAACTACTCATTACATATATAAATATATACTATCTAGTGCAAACTGGCAACTACGCATGTGACGTATGTTGAAATATTTTATTTTCAAAGAATATTTTATAAATACGTATATAATGATCAATAATGGTCAGGGTTATAAACATAAGTTTTGGTTGGTAGCACCGTTCTGTTTGTGGCATTACTGCAGTGTCGCGCACGCGCATAATACCATTGTTCACTAAATACGTCATCGATCTGCTGATAGAGTTTTGTAGGGTCGACGATCGAACCTCGTTCTTTCTTTCGTGAACAGGCGTCGACGTCGCACTATACCTGTCGTCGAAACGAAATTTTGTTAATTCCTAACCTTCAATCTCAACGACTATCCAACGTCGTCATACTTAGCAACATATTGTAAGTATCGAACGTGTGGTCTCCTGAACGTTCACTTTATTTAGTTTAATATCCGATTACATTTAATCTAGTTTAATTTAAAATGTTTGCTCAAGGATTGAGAGTCGTCAGGTCCGCCATATTGAATCCGCTACACGTCAAATCTGTACCGAATCGTCAACAGTTGCTTACCGAAAAAATAACTATAATGTAAGTACAGATTATTATATTTATTGTTGTTTATTATTTTTATTTAACTGAACAATAATTAGATATCATCTTTTATGCGTCTCCATTCGCGTGTTATGTATTCAAGGTTATTGGATAATGTGGAAACAATGTGGTTAGGTTTTTAGATGTTTTCAACTAATAACGGTTTACTTTATTTATATTATTAAATTAATTAACCCATTGTTTATTGTAACCTACATGTCCCTTAAGTTAAACCAATCGGTAAATGATGTGCTCTTTATAGAAATGAACGCAACACCAAATTTGTTAGGTTAGGACT